GGGCGGGGGGGGAGGGAGCTGCCCAGTGAGCGTTCCCGTTCGGTGCCCCTTCTCGGCAAGGCTTCGCGACTTCAGCTTGTTAAAACCCGCCTGTGCTGCGGTAGCCACTTCTCCGCTCGTGGGTTTTTACGTGAAATGCTTTTCTCGCAGCTGTGAGTCCCAGCTAGCACGCTAGCCATTGCATTGTGCCAAGGCTCCTCTTGCGCTTGAAGAACGCGACCTCAAATAGCCCTCTCTTGTCTGAGAGCATGAATGGTTTGGGTTACGAGTTCTTTGAAGTTACGGTTTACAGGATGTCAAAACCCTGAAAGGAGTTTTTAGTGCTCAAAGATAAGACTGGTAGAGATTTTTAAAATGCGTCAGTATCTCAGACTTAGCAGGTGTCTTGTAGCAGATACTAGATATAGGCATGCCAACAAAAAATGATAGTCCGGCCTTGTGACAGCTTTGTTGCTGCATCTGTACAAGCTGTCGCGATCTAGGAAGTGTGCCTGGCTGGTTACAGCTGCCAGGTGCCAAAGTGATCAACTCGGTGGAGATTCTTAGAAAGTGAATCTTCCAAAATAAGTTGAAACTTTAAGTTCCTGTTTTCTGAAAGTTTTTTTAATGTTAATGTTAACACGTTATATGAGTGTTGAGAACTTTATTATCAATAGCTTGATTTTTATGCCTTACAGGTGCTATTTCTCAAATAGCAGGTTTTCGTGTGATGCCTCATTCCCCCTTTTCACTTCAGTGACTAGTTGTAAGGGTTTGTGCTAGTCAGGGAACAGTTAATTAGCTTTAATTGCTGGGAGTGGTTTAGCTTCCCCAGAAGGGAGATGGAGGACAGGCCGTAACTACCGGGCTGTTGGCAGTAATTAAGACTAGTTAGCTGTTCTGTGGCTGAAGTCACGGTGCTGTAATCTTCCCCCATGAATTCACCTGCAAACCACTTAATAGTAAATTTACAGTTTTGAAAACTGCATTAGTAATAATCGTAATAGGTATATTTTTTCTAATCTTCTTCTCTAATTGCTTTATTATGTTAAATAATTTAGCAATAGTTGCAAGCTGAAGGAAAAAATTTCTGGAGTGATGCTAACTGAAACACTTTAGCTGAAAGTTTACGCTAATAAAAACTTAACCCCAGGTAGAATTCTGGCTTTAACTGGAATGTTGTCCTTGCTGAACAGAAGCTTAAATCTAACATAGACTTCAGGTTAAACAGCTCCTTGTAGACAAACATTAGGTGGTTGGCTAAGATTTTTTTTTTTTAAAACAAATTAGGAATGTGAACTTGAAATTCTGCTCGGCATTTAACAGCAATTTCAATGGAAAGACTATGGGAGAATAATGGCAATACGAAGAAAGATCTATTTAAACAAAAAAAAGAAAATAAGATCGTTAAGCTGCTGGTTGCTGTGGGTTTCTACATACATGTGTGTATGTCATGGCACTAAAAGTTAGTACATCATGAAGTCATCAAAGCCATGCTGCTACAAATAATCCCTTGGACAGCTGGCAAATGTTCAACTTTTTTTTTTTTTAAATACCATTATACAGATAATAGAATTTAATGGTTTCCTGATGTACTTTATAGTCCAAAATGTGATGCTTTTTTCTGTGTGGAGAGGCAATGTAAGCTATTCTAAATCTAACTCTCAATATTTTTAAAGATGTCTACAATAATCTGATTTCTCAACTATATTGATTTTGTTTTTTGTAAGTGGGAGCGTTTCTTGCATTTAGTGTTAAGTCCAGCGTTGTACTTTTTAGCTGAAGTTGTGTAAAGCTACTTTGTGCTTTTATTGCATCTAAATGATCATTGCATTGGTTTTCTCTGCCTGTTGTGTGCACAGAGAAGTGAACTTGTTTTATCTTTTACATTAAAATTTGACTAAATAGATGAAGATCTAATTATGCTTGATATGCATCCTCCCCAGATCTCAAAGCTTTTGAAAGAAGACTTACTGAATATATTGCATGTTTGCAACCAGCTACAGGACGTTGGAGAAGTAAGTTTGATGTTCCAAGGGATAAAGAGGATTCTCTCTGTCAAGCTTTTTAGATTTACCAGTGTATATCTTTGATTTATGCTTGCCCAAATAAAAATCTGTGCTTAAACTCTTTAAAATTCCTGTGGCATACATTCAAACACTCTGCAATGAGATAATACAAGATACCAAACAAATACTTTAGCCAGAGTTAAAAAAAAAAAAGAGGTCAAGACTGAATTGGCTCAAGGCTGAATTGTTCTGGAAATAGTTGGGACAGTAAATTGTTGTATTTGTGTTATGGTTTGTTTTTTGTTGTTGTTTTTGGTTTGTTTTTTTTTTTTGAAGGCTCAGACTTCCCAGGCAGTCACTATAGGTACTTGAACTAAATATGATTGGGTGAGATAGTCTCTATAAGATTGAAGGCGAAAAAGTTAAGCAGTGTGCCTTACGAGCAGAATATGTCCTCAGTTCTGTTCTAACAGGAAAGTTTGAAGGAAGGGGGGAAGGCAAAAAAATACCACAGATATGCTGCCAACTTTGGGATCAGTCCATGGTGGAAACAGACTACTTTTTTTGTCTTAAGATTCTGCTGAAGTTTCCATACTTAAAAAATAAATAAAATAGCATCTTTTCTGCTGAGAGGTTAATTTCAAGTGAAGGAACTGGAGGAATGACTACTTAAAAAGCAAAATCAACAGAAAAACCACCCCACCCGAAAGCACAACCAAACACCATGCCCACCCCACCCCTCAAAACCCCTTGTTTCAGAGTGATTGGGAGGCAAGCAGATATTTTTAAGTAGATCTGTGCAACTTGTGTGCACCTGCTGTAGGAATGCATTTGGCTTCCAGAATTGCTATTTACTGTCAGATTTAAGTAAAACAAACAAAAAGTACTGCAAACCTCTAAGTGTATTTAAATTAGGTTTGCATAACTAGTATTGTGTTCACTAGCTAACATTTTTTTCCCCTAACTGCTGCATTTGCTTGTTTTGTAATTCATGTAAAAGAGGGACTTCTTACTTTAATTATAATGGGGTATTTAACCCAATGTTAACCTTTCTTCCTGTTATCCTGGGAAAAAGTATTTATACACAGAAGCAGTGCTATGCTTTTGATAGATCTTTTCCAACTTTCTTTTGAAAATATAACTTGTTAGGGTTACTTTTTTATTTTGTTTTAAATTTTGTAATATCAGTAAGGAATATGCAACTCAGTAGTAAATGATAGCAGTCTTAGAAACCTGAGGGTAGTATTTCATGAATATCTGGGTTTTATTTTCAGGTTCTTACCTATGATCCTAAAGGCTGGTAACTCTGGGTTGTCTTTTTTTTTTTTGTGTATTGGTTTTTGTTCCTCCGCACCCCCTGCCATAGAAGACTTTATTTGCATCCAGAACTTCAGGCTCCAGAGAAAGCACTTTGAACAGCCAAATGTCCAGTGAAAGCTGCAAGGCTTTATGGGTGTGCAATAGAACAGGAGCTTTCTCTAGCTTTGTCTTTGTTCTGTTTTCTTTTTCGATCAACCCTGGTTCCCCAAGCCTTTGTTGTCTCTCGAAATCAGTCTAGTATCTTGTGTTACTCTGATATGTATCTGGCATTATTGATTTACACTGAATTTATTGTTCTTTCTAAGCCATTCTGGATGTGTAGGGGTGTTTGTTGATCTTCATGTGCTAAAGTTAACATGCCTTCTGACTCCTGTTTAAATCTTGTGTTTTTTTTCTCTCTATCAGCTTTCCTTGCTTGTAATTGTGTTGATTGGGGTGGGGAGCATAACACAACTTAGATGTACTGCTGAAACTGCTGGTGCTAATGCCTCAGGCTCTTCTTCTGTAGAAGAGCTACTGGGATAGAAGTTCTGCTCTGCGATTTAGTGGTGCTGCGTTTCTGCTGCCCAGGCTGCATAAGCTCAAATAACATACGGAACATTTGGTACAGCTCTTACTCCAGTCTTCCAACTCATATTTTTGCTAACTGTTATTTTTAGAAACTTTCATTTCTTCAGAGCATCAGGATCTTTTTACTTGACAGAATTTAGGTTTTGGTACCTGCTTGTCCTGTCCAGGAAACTTGTACGGAATCTTTGTGGTTTCATGTAATAGAAGTTTCTTTGCCTATTTTAATTTCTACCTTCCAAGTACAAGCTTTTGCTCCCTCAGAAGTATGAGAAGAAAGAAATGCTTAAAAGCTGCTGCTGAAAAACAAATGCTTTTTAATAGGAGTGAGGTATACTGTTTATCACTCTTTTTCTTTTCTTTATCAGTGATACTGATAGTGGTATCAGTCTGCACGGCAACTGGTGCTTGGAATTGGTTAATAGACCCGGAGACACAAAAGGTAAAAATCGTGCTAATCCCGAATGTTGTCTGTGTCATAGCTTGGTGTTGCAGCCAAGCAGTATAGTGTCTTGAAAACCAAAAGGCTAAAGGTGATTCTCCCATGAAACTGGGGGATCGTTTTTAGGTAAGCTCTCAAGCTGCCTGTTGTGGAGTATGTCCTGGGATAACACCTATCAAAATGCTACACCTTGAATGCTTATCTAAAGAATTGTTTGCAAGTACGTAGAAATGGTTAGGAGCAGTGGTTTGTGGGGTTGGTTTTGTGTGTTTTTTTTTTTTTTAAATTAAGTGAACTAGGCAGCAACTTTATGTTTTGAAAAGTGTATAGTGGGTCTAATCTGATTTCTTTCCCAGGTGTCATTTTTCACATCACTTTGGAATCACCCATTTTTTACAATTAGCTGTATTACCCTAATAGGCTTGTTCTTTGCTGGAATACATAAAAGAGTGGTGGCACCGTCAATGTATCCTTTGATCGTATTTGTCAGGTTAAAAGTGTTGTAGTTACTGCTGTTATTGAGGCCTATGCTAGTATTGCTTTTTCAGTTTTTATTTACTCTGTACAAGCGTTAGCTGCTTTCCTTGACACAATCCACACAGTATAGCAGCCCGATGTCGAACTGTTTTGGCAGAATATAATATGTCCTGTGATGATGTAAGTGTTAGTGGTTCGTTGCCTAAACCTTGTTTTTAAAAAAATGGGAATAATTCAGAAAGGGAGACAGGTTTTTTTTGTGAACAGCACTTGTATACACCTTGACAAATTCTGTCTATAGAACTGGAATGTAGAATGCTTAGTGTAGTTCTGTGTGTTGTTTTAAACTTAGTCTGTAAAATTGAAGTGCAATTGTTGGGCTTGATTTTCAGGGTCTAAACTTTTTTTTTTCTGTCTTGCAGACTGGAAAATTAATTTTGAAACCTAGGCCTCATGTTCAATAAGGGCTGTCTTCCTTCATTTTTTTCCACTGCCATGGAAACCAAAAATGACCTTTTTTTAAAGGTAGTATGACAGCAAAAAAACAAATGGGACTGGTTGTCACTGCCTGGGAGTGAAAGTCTTACACAGTTGACAGTGAAAGTGTGCAATATTACTTTCTTGAATATTTATCCAAATTCTTTGTTATCATATTATCAGTGCTTTTGCTACTTCTGATTACCTCTTTTTCAGTATTAGTGTCACTTTTTTACTTCAGCTAGAACTGAACATACAGGTGAAGTATGTTAATTGGCTATGAAGTTGAACTTGAAAATCAAACCTCATTTGTGTTACATGTCTTTGTAAGCAATTGTAAATAGCAGATTGATGCCAATGTTCAGGAAAAGAAGTAATATTTGCCGTATGGATTTTTTTTGTTCTCATGAACAGTGTTGAAAGGAACACTTACCATTCCCATGACGTTTTATTAGCACACTTACTCAATTACCACTGTCCTTGTCTCCTGGTTGCTCTTTTTGGAACTGGTTGAAAGGCTTGCAGAAAGACTGTCTGTGCTGGAGAAAACTGGTCTTATTGTTTAAGAACTGTGCAAATATACAAAGGATTGCATTTGTCAAGTTGTATATATAGTGCACCAGCCACTTTCATTGTGGTCATACATATCCCCTTGTTTGATCTGGTTCACAACACTGCTATTTTAAGATTTTAATATTTTAAAAATTGTCTTAAATATGCTTGTATCTTCATGATTGTAAGGTTGTACTGTATCTTAAGTCCACGTGACCCATTCTGAGTGGATTTTTATGCTGTGATAATCTGAATATGAAACTAGTATTGCAAATGTATAACTTCAGATTTGGTGAAGAAGATATAAAAAGTGCCACAATAAAATAACAAAATTTGTTATTCAGAGTGTTAAAAACAAGCTGTGGATGTTATATGCATGAAGTCTAACTTTTGAATAGCTAAAATTGTAAAGAGTTCTAAGAGTTTAAGTTTTTCAAGGTGCCTTTTTAATTGTTTCAAACTCTTTTAAGTGACTAAATCTGCAAAGCTGTTGCAACTTCAGTAACTCCTACTACAAGGTAGACAGGCTTTTAAAGTCAGCTTATTGATGTAACTTTGTCAGCTGAGACACTAAGAGTCGTCTCCAGTAATTTTTCAAGTAAGTCTTCTGCCCATCCATTATTTTTAACTGCTGTATATTTTGTAGGTAAATGTGTATAAAATAAATTCTTTGTATAAACAGATGTTATCTTCTTTTGTACTGTGCAAATACAGATCTCGAGTGAACACAGAAGAACTTCAGATGCTTATAGCTGAAGTCTGTAGCTTTCACACCGGACCAACATTTCCTATATTTGATGTGGTTCTTGTAATCTAAGATACTGGCACCAGAGCGAGAAAGTCCTTCCACTTTTCCACCCTGCAGCTCGCTCCTGCCTTCTGTAAGTGCCGTTGGAGGAAAGTGTTTCATTCAGCATTTACCCTGTTTGGGTTTCTGACCCGGCCATCCGGCCGGAGCAGGCGTCGCGTCCTGCGGCCGGCGTGAGGACGCGGCCGCTGCCCGCGGCT